CAATTTTCTACTGTTGGACTTCTGGATTGTTAAGCATAAATTCCACCCACATTTTAGACTATTTCTTTAGGACAGATTCCCAGAATTGGAATTAGAGGATCAGAAGATATAAACATTTTTAAAGCTCCTGATAGATACTGCCAAATTACATTTCAGAGAGCTGTTGCCAATTTACACTTCCAACATTGCCAGCGTGTTTTTCTATCAACATAGATCTGTCTAAAGGATAATAAAATTTAAGTGGAACATACAGAGGCCTGTAGCAAAGGTCATTCCTATTTCAGGTATGCAATTAACAATGAGTTAGTGTGAGCTCATGGAACTAGTTTTGCAGAAATAGAGTAATATAATTAGATTTCAGACTCCCAGATCTAAGGACTGTGTCCATTTTGTACATTGCTGTACCCCTGCACACAGGACAGTGCCTGGCACATACAGCCACTCAATAAAAATTTGTTGAATTAACACAGAATCTTCTTTCAGATGCAGTTTTTCAGCAACTGTAGGATTCAGTCACTGCTGTATTCAAGGGAACCATGACTAGCTGGGTTACCCTTGTAAAGGTCTGTTCAATCCCGACAGTCTATTTCAACCTTGGAAAATCAGTTTAAGTGAAGGTGACACGACACAGTCCTCTTTAGGGAAGAAAACAAGTACACACATCTAAAAGGACATACCTTGGCACCAATTCCAAGTGTGTGTGTGTGTGTGTGTGTGTGTGTGTGTGTGTATAAATTTTTACAAGCATGCAAAAAATATAATTCAGTCAGTTTTGTCACTTCCATAGTAGTCACTTCCAAAAGTGATAAACTTACTCAAATGCTGCCCGAGGTCGAGGCTATTTTGGACCCAACTTCAGTTCATTCTATTATCGTTGGTTGTTAATACTGACAAAATTGTTTTTGAGATATTACAGTGCATATATAGGCAGTAGTTTGTGTAATATCATTTTGAGTCAAAAAGAGTAGAGAATTAATTTCGTGAACCAGGATGGGGTCAAGTAAAATACTCAATCATTCAGCTCTAGTTCATGCTCCTGGCACCATAAAGATTCCCTTTAATATTCCACAATTTCTATATAGTAAATTGTCAGACATCAACAGATCAATTTAGCATTAACAAGGTTATTGATGGAAAAGAATCAATTACCTGTCATTTTATATATACACTTTATATACACTAGACCAAGAATCAGCAAATTATGGTCCATGGGCCAAATCTGGCCCATCATCTGTTTTTCTTCAGTGCAATCTAAGGAATGTAAAAATGATTTTTTAAAGCTTTTTAAATGGTTGAAAAAAATCAAAATAATATTTAGTGACACATAAAAATTATATGAAATTCAAATTCCAGTATCCATAATTTTTTTTAAGGACATAGCCACACTTATCTGTTTCCTTATTGGCTGTCTGCTTTTGCAATAAAATGTTGAGTAGTTGCAACAGAGACTGCGTGGCCCACAAATCCTAAGATATTTCCTTTATGACCCATTCACTAGACCCAAGTGGCTGTTTGGGAACACTGAAGTTTCCCACTACAGTTTTTTTTGGTTTCTGAATATCAATACTAGGAGAAGGGTAATGCATTTGGGACAGTATTTGCAAGGACCTAATAAAGCAGAAAGTAGAGAAGATAAATACGCAAGGTTTGCCATGGATAGGATGTAAAGCCTGTAAGATCTGAGAGGTCTGTCTCAACTAAAAAGCAGAAGAACACAGGGTTCCATATATAGTTCCAACAGCAAAGGAAGCTCTTGCTAATTGAGCCACATGGGACCCTGGTGAGATGCAATCCCAAGACTAGTGAGACTTGCTGGCAATTATGTTTGCAAACGGGCTGAACAGTTGTCACTGTGATACAGTGAGATGGTTCCCCAAGAGTACCACATTTCTTTACTAGATGTCCTCAAATCATTTAACATCCAGATTTATCCAGACATTTCCAATGGCAAGTGTGAATTCTGACTAAGAAGTAGATCTGAAAGGAGGGCTCTGGAAGGCAGGTCCCAGGTACACATTCTTCCCAACCATCACATTTCCATGAGGATTCAAAGCCGAGCAGAATTTATAAGACTGAAGAACTATCCACGTTTTTCAAAATCAAAGATTGGTGAACATTTTATTCTTTCTATTTTCTGAGTATTTACAGTGGGACAGGTAGAGGAAGGTAGGGTTGGGTAATGGGTGGAGGAAAAATGAAATGAAATCAAGGATGGGATGATGTCCTGGAAGGTGTCTGTTCCTCCAGGACTTCACGCTGTGGCGTTAACACTGCATGTGGCTTCTGAACCAGAATGGGATGAGGCTAATCTCCTGATCCTCAACTGATTGTTTTAAACTGGAGAACCATGATCAAAGCTTACAGATTCATTACCTCATTGTTTTAAACTAGAGAATTATGGTCAAGGCTCACAAAAGGCCGGCTCTCCTCCTGACATTCTACAGAGAGCTAGGCTTTATCTTCTACCGTTAGGTGAAACTTCTCTTGCCAGGGAAAATATAATTGCTGGGAGAAAGTGATTTGGATGTTATATATCTGAGAAACTTTCATGAGGTAGCCAAATTGCCTCCCTAAGAAACTGATAACACTGGTGGCTGCTGGGCTATGGAATCCCTGGTGGGTAAGGGTGAGAAAAGGAGTTTTTCCTCTTTCTTTGTATACCCCTTATCAAAAACAAAAACAAGAACCCTACCCCCCCACCATGTGGCCCACCCAACTTCTTACGGATAGAAAGGTGACTGGGCGCCAGGGCAGGAATAGACAATTTCCTTACTGAGGGCTATAGGCTGACGTAGGAGCTGGAAGGAGCCATAAATCAGAGGAGAGTGGAGTTAGTTGCGAGTTAAGTGAAAAGCCATGACCAAAAGGGCAATTCAAGATCATCACACCAAAGTGACCAAAAGCAGCTACTGGAGGGAGGTGTGGTCCAGAACCAGGGAAGCAGAAGAGCAAGGGTAAACTGGTGGAGAATAAACCGAGCAATGTTTGAGAAAAGCCAAGGACGAGAGCCTGGGGTATGATGGTGGGTAGATCTCTGAGACCATCTCTTCAGGAGCCCCAGGTGGCAAGGTGCAGGACAGAGCAAAAATCATGTCAGCAATAAGAGATTTGGTGGTAGGCACCTAAGAAGTACTGTTAAATATGAACTCTCCCACCTGGGGACATTCCCAGATCATGCTCTAGCCTGGAGTTTAGTGATTTTGAGCAGCCATGAGTGGTTTGGTTGAGTGTTTGGACAGTAATTTTACTTCCTCAAAATCTGATGTACATCAAGGCTATCATCTCATTGAATATTTTCTGGGAAACCTTGCATTGGGTTCAAGTAGTCATTTGACCTGACTTCTACTCACAGAATCTAAGATAATAAATTAAGTCCCTTTCATTATTCACAGTCCTGATTATCTGCTTCCAAATGCAGTGTCCAAACCCTGTATAGGCCAACGCTACTCTTGGTACCCTATACTCCAGCATGGTCTTAGTCCAATACCTTTGGAAAGGTCATTCCAGCCCTGTGCACAATACAGAAGTCCAGAAATAAGTTCTCTCAGGACCTCTGTGCTATCATAGGTTAAAGGTAATGCCTGCAGGTACTGTTAAGGGATCCTGGCCCTGGCCCAGGAGCACATAATTCTGCAACAGTTACCACTGGGTTTGACCAAGGATTAATATGAGGTCCATTAACCAATGTCACCCCAATAAATTCAATTAAAAAATTTTTTTAAAAAAAAAGAGGTCAGAGTTGCAATAGACAAGCACAGGGGCTTTTGCTACAGAGTGCAATAGGGAATGCTTGTGGGGACCCAGGGTTTCATCTCATGTAGGAAGAGGTAATGGTCCTGAAATGGACTGTCTAGAAATTGCTAAGTAGGTAGAAGTCTATTAGCTGTTGCTTGGTTTGAGTTTTCTTGCACAGTATCTTTTATTTGTGTGATAAGGCCTAGGTTTCCGTGGGCCTCAAAACTGGCAGGGATTAGTGGGGAACTTGCAAATTTTTTTGATGGGATACAGTGAAAGAACAGAACTAATAATAACTGTTGAATAAATCAGTGTTAGGCCTCTACTATCAACCAATATTGTTTCCTAACTTACTAGTGAAATAATAGGAGCTGTTATGTGTAAAAATCCTTGGGTAAAACACAGACCTTGGCAAATCCTGTGAAATGCTGTTAATAACCAACTCCCTCCCTGCTCCTTTGCCAGTCAGTCATTCTGAGATGTTTCCAGTCTATGTGGTATTACTTGGAACCCACTTGGGGAAAGTTCCATTCCACAAATCCTGGCAGAGAGGCAGGAAGACATAAAGGAGTTTGAACTTATATAGACTGCTTTTTTTGGGGGGGGGGGGTTGATATGAAATTTAGATAATCAAATAAGTAAATTATTATAAACCTGTCCACAATTTATAAACAACTGGCATAGACTTGGGGGCAGAGGAGAGAAAGCAAAGGATCCCAAATTGTGCATCCTCTGCAACATCATTATTTTCCTCTTCGGACTTTGCTATTCCAGCCAAAAATGCCATCATTTTCTTACTGATGCAGGTTCAAAGCCTCATGCTGTTCCACCTGCCTGGGGAGTTTTCTCTAGTTTCCTAGCCCCTTGTCCCTTCTTTCCTAATGAATTCAGCTCATGAACCACCTCATCCATGAAGTCCACCCAGCCCTTGGTGATTTTGTTTCACAACTTTGCACTGTCAATGCCCAGCAGTATTCTAAAAACTGCAGGTGCTCAAAAAGCACTGGACAATGTTGGTGATAGTTACTAAATCAGGCTGCTACGTGGGAATCAGCACACAGGCAGCTGCTCCCTTAATGCAGGGTCTGGTGTCACCTGGTCTTCCTCCCCACAGAGCACAGCCTGGGCCTGAGTCCCTCGGTTTATATTTTCAAGGTTCAGATCCTCTTCTAGCAGAGAAGATACACAAATGAGTGTGGGGAGGGGGGTCCAAAGCGCAGCTCTAGAATGAAACAAACCCAGCTCTTCTGTGAGGTTTAGGTCTGTGAGCTGAGTATGAGTTGGCCAGCCCAAGTTCTGAGGGGCTCTCACTGAATCATTTGGGCTGGACGGACCTTTAGCATTGCTCACTATGTTAGCATGCCACTGCCTTCTGTACCATACCTCTGGCCCTGACTGTGAAGCAGGCTGGAACTGGAGGCCTTCTCTTGGGGTCCTCCCAGAAGAGTATGCCTCCCTGGGCACAGAGATACAGACTCCAGGAGGTCCTGTTCCCACCTCTCACTGGTATGATCCCCTGAGGCAGAATGTTGAGAACATAGGAACAGGACAGCCACAACAATTTAAGGTCTGGGCAGTGAAGAGATCCAAACTTGTCAAGCAAAAGAAATAAAGAACAAGCAAGAACCAGAAGTCAACAGCCAGAGGTTCTTCAAAGTTGTGGAGAACAGCAAGGAAGATATGGCCAAGCAGTCCAGCAGAGCAACTAGTAGAGCCATGATGTGCAGAGAGGGATGATAGAGATGACTGACAATACACCAGCAGCAAATGAAGGTGCCTAACAGTGAGGCAGCTTTCTAACTCAGGTTCAGCTCCCTCACAGTCCTTTCACCAAGGTGTGAACCAATCCTGAGCTGCCCTGGTGGGGAGGCTTGTTGAAGATGAGGCCTGCAGAAGCTGGCTGGCGGGGCAGTGGATTCTGAGATGGGATACAGGCAGATGCATTTCCCCACCAGCTTCACACTGAAGATGACTCCATGTTTCAGAACCTGTTACTTTTTTCTTCTCATACAAGCTATTTTTCCTAGTTTCTTTGGAGAGATCAGAACAAAAGTCCAGTTTTCGAGGTATAGGGTCATCCTTCAAAATAGCGGATATAACTTTGGCAGAAACTTTTCTCATGTTCAAGTTTTCTTTCAGAATGAGTCTAACAGTTTCTTTATCTAAATTTAACTCTTCAGCCATCATCCTCACTGTTAACTGCCTGTTTGAACAAACCAAGTCCTTGACCTTCTGGATATTTTCATCTGTCCGGTGGGTAACTGGACGGCCACTTCGGGCATCATCTCGAACATCTTCCCGCCCTTCTTTAAACCTTTTGTGCCAGTCAAAAACTCTGGCCCTAGACATGACTTCATTCCCGTACGCTTCTTTTAAAAGATGGTGGGTCTCACTTGCAGACTTGTTCAATTTCACGCAAAATTTTATACTAATCCTTTGTTCTAGATAGCGGTCGCTCATTTTGTCACTTAAGACAGGAACGTTAACAGGTTACGATTGTAAGGAGACGACAGGGGGACCAATCTCTATACAGCTGCAGGTGGAATCAGATCGCTCGCTATTCTTGATCCTCTGGAGCCTCACCAGGAAAGAGTAATTGCTATTCTGAGTTTTCGGCCCTTAGCTTTCAGTTGAGGCTGCGGAAGCCCGTTTTGAGACGCTAATGGGGCTAAAGAGCAGCCGCAAAGCTGAGGGCAATGAAATCTCCTACAACCCACTTCTGCGTCCAACTTCACTGCACACAGATCTGCCGGGGAGTGTACAAATTAGTAACCAAAGTCGTCCCGATTCCGCGGCGCTTAAAAGTCTATGGCGATTTCTGCAACGGGGGCCTAAGTGGTGGTATCTTAAGCAAGCAAGGAGAGATACACCAGTGATGTAACGTGCAAGCTCGCCCCAGATCTGCAGAATCCCGCGAACGCCAAACCTACCGGAGCGGCCCTGTGTTCACCAACTCCGGAGTCCTAGAGACACGCCCGCCTACGCAACTCCCTCCCCTCTCGGAGTAGCTGCGCAGGCGCACTGTGGCAGCCCGCGTCAGCCCCCGCCTCCAACTCGCCACACCCCGGCAGGCGCGTTTCCCTGCGCGTGCCCGCCTGCGGAGAAGTCGGCGGAAAGGAAGGGGCGGAGGAGGAAGGCTAAGGGAAGAGAGGGCACCCCCGGGCGCCAGGGTGCATTGTGGGAAGGAGGCGGCAGCGTCCCGGGCGGGCGGGAGGTGCACCAGCGGCGGCGGCGGCGGTAAATCCTCCCGGCCGCTCACAGCACTGTGGAGCCGCTTCCCCAGCTCGGCCTCGGACCGCGGCGCCCCTCCTGCCCCTCGCGGCTTCTAGCCCGCCCGCCCCTCCCCCCGGCGCGCCGGCCCTGCCGAGCCGGCCGGCCGGCCTGGCTCCCCTCCCCGGCCCCGACGGGCGGGCGGGCTGCCCTGAGGAGGCGGGGAGGGGAGCGCTGGGCCGGCCTGCGGGCGGGCGACGATGCCGAATTTCTGCGCGGCCCCCAACTGCACGCGGAAGAGCACGCAGTCGGACCTGGCCTTCTTCAGGTTCCCGCGGGATCCAGCCCGGTAAGCGGCGGGCGCGGAGCTGGCTGCCTGGGCCCACCTCCGCGGTGCGCGGGTCCCGGGCTGAGGGGTGTGTGTGGGTGGGGGGCACAGTCTGTGACACCAGCCTCGCACCCAGGCGGGGAACGGGCCGGGAGCAGTGGATATGTGGGCACCCGGGGACCTCGCAGCACGTGCACAGGCAGGGGTTCGGCGCCCAGGACACCACCCGAAATGAGAGGCAGCTAGGGCGGCGCGCAGAAGGGACAAGTGGGTTCTCGTCCTGGTTAGCTTGCTCTGTGACTTCGGGTAAGTCGCTTTCTTCTCTGAGCTTTAGTTTTCTCAACTGTCAAAGAGGGATTTGGAGTCTGTGTGTGTGGCTGCCGGGGCCTTTTCCTCTCCTTGCCACTACCTCCGGGACCCTGTTTCTTTTCGGAGTCTGTCCACCTTCTTTGATCTCGAGTCACAACTGCTCTCTCCTTCGGACTTGCTCCTGGTACAGATTCTGGCTCAGGCTGTTACTCATCATCTGCTTGGTTATTGTGGGGATAACGGAGCGGGGTGAGGTAGGAGGTGGGGGAAGTACACGTGAAGGCATGAAAATTGGTACTGAAACCGTCTTTAAAGTAACTTAGACGCTCTTCGAGAGAGTGGTGCTATAGGGGCCGAGAGTGGTACTATAGGGGCCGTGTTTGAAAAGCCGAGGGTTTCCCTTGGCCTCTCGTTGATTTAGTCATTTGAGATCAGTACACTTACCATGTGTGTTAGGTGCTGGAAATTCACAAGTGAATGAGTGTTGCTGTCTGCAGAAAGTTCACAGTCCATTAAAGAGACAAATCTAAGCAGGCGATTGTAATGTAACATGCTATTTATTAGTTCCACAGATATTTATTGAGGGCCTACTACGTGCTGGGAATTGTTCAGAGCACTGGGAGTGTACAGATGAACAATTCACAGAGTCCCTGCTCTCATCGACTTTACAGTGTAGTGGGGGAAAATTGACGAATATGCAGTGTGTCAGATGGTGATAAATACAGGACTGTGATAAAAAGGCACATGTTGTGGGATAGAATTAGAAGTAGCAGGGGAGGCATAATTTCTGTTTTAAATAGGGCAATTAGAGAAGGCCTTAGAATGTGAATTTGAGCAAAGGCCAGCGGTAGGTAAGGGGGCTAGCCGTGAAGATATCTAGGGGAAGAGATTTTCAGTCTGTGGAGCAATGAATGCAAAGAGAGGCAGAGCATGCTTGTTAGAGGTACAGCCAGAAGTCCATGGACTGTTAGAGCTGGTTTAAGGAAGGAGAGGGAAAAGATGAGACCAGAAAGGTGTGTGTTGGGAGTGGGGGGTGCAAATTGTGTAGGACATTGTATGCCATGGAAAGCACTTTGGGTATTTATTCTGAGTGAGATAGGAAGTAATCAAAGGGTTTAGAGTAGAGACATAACTTTAAAAAGGGTCACTCGCTGCTTGTTAGATTGTAGGGAGACAGAGGTGAGAGCAAGAAGATCTGTGAAAGGCAGTTGCAGTAATTCAGGTTAGTAGAGGAGGTAGTAAGTTTTGCATTTGAGCTGTGTTTTGAAGGTGAATTCAGCAGGATTCGTTAATGATTTAGATTTAGGTTGTAAGAGAAGAAAAGAAATCAAGAATGACTTGAAGATTTTTAATATGAGCTTGGGAGGAGCAGGTTTGGTGGAGGAATATATATATTTCTTCAGTTTTTTGTTCCATATGGTCAGTTCTTGTATGTGTCCTGACCAGGAATTGAACCCACAACTTTGACATGTCTGGATGATGCTCTAACCAATTGAGTTGTTAGGCCTGAGAGAGGAATATTAAAGGTTTAGTTTGAGATATGTGAAGTTTAAGAGATGTGATAGACTTGTTTAAGAATAGATGTCTTTTTTCATACCACATCCAGAAATAACTCAAAATGGCCCATATTTACATCAGTGACCTAAATATTTAAGAGCCAAAACCACATAAAAAGATACACAAGTTTGGGATTTAGCGACTTCCAAACTGAAAGTTGTAAATATGGGTGTTCTCAGTTTATGGAGGGTATTTAAAGCCGTGATATCAGGTACATAAAGCAGAGTAAGTCTGAGGGCTGTGACCTGGGGTGTTTCTAATGTTTAAAGTTCAGGGAGATGGAGAGGGACTAAGTCAAGAGAATAAGGAATAGCTTTTGGTTCTGTGAGAGTAGAGACGAGGAGCATCTTAATCTGACTGGACCTTATTACAGTAAGCATTATCTTCACTTTACCTAAATTTTAGCCCAAGGGCATTGTGGGGAGAATATTTCACTTGCCTAATGAGGGCTCTGCTACTCAGTCTGGACCACAGGTCATTTGTGTCCATGAGTAGTTAGTTGAATGCTCTTTTATTACATTCCTTAGCTGGGAGTATGGCTTGGAGGGGCTTACAGTCTCAGATTTGAAAGTGATTAGATCTATTGCAATATCCTTTAAAGTGCTGGAATTTCCTCAGTAGCAGTTGCTTGTTAACCTTTTTTTGGGTCATTGTCCACTTTGAAAATCAACATAAGGACTCTTGAGAAAAAACATAGACACGCACTTTTGCATTCCATGGTCATATTACTTATGAACCCTTTAGGGACCCTGTGCATCCCTGACAGGTGGGCCTTTGCTTAAAAAAAAAAAAAAAAAAAAATCCACCGGCGATGGTTTTCTGCTTTGTGAGGGGACATTTGAGGATTATGGACAGCTTTAGCTGCTGTTTCTTCCTTGTTTTGAGTGGAAATATATTCCTCCCTATAATTTATGTTTTGGAAGTCTTAGTTTTGTCCCCAGAGTCACCCTAAGCAAGTTTATGCCCTTTTCATGTAACAAGTCTTTTGAGTATTTCAAGACCAAATTACAAACTTTTAAAACCTTAAAAAAAAAACCCACTTCTATTGAGATATAATTCACATACCAAACAGTTCACCCATTAAAAAGGAACAAATCAGTGGTTTTCAGTATATTGCATTATTAATTTTTAAAAATTTTTGGTAAAACATATGACATAAAATTTGCCATTTTAACTATTTTAAGTATGTGAGTCAGGAGCATTGATTACATTCACATTGCTATTCAACCATTGCCTCTCTATATTTCCAAAGCTTTTTTATTACGCCAAGCAAAAGTTCTATAACCAGTAAACAGTAACTCCCCCCATCCTTCTGATCTACTTTCAGTCTTCATGAATTTGTTCTATGTATTTCATATAAGTGGAATGATATAATAATTATTCTCTTATGTCTTGCTTATTTTACTTAACGTAATGTCTTCAAAGTCTTAACTTTTTATCCAAACCAAATCTCCTCATGCTGTAGGACTTCAAATTCTACTGTATTTGACAGAATTTCTTTTTCCCATGCCTAGAGTTAATTATAATAAAGAAGTAGTGTCCAGAGATGTTTACTAAATTAATAACAGTATTTTAGAATTATTAGTTATAACTAATTTTTTTCTGTAAGTGAGTTGTAGGGGTAAAATGAGATGCTAACCTATCCTTCAAAAGTTAACTTTTTTAACAATAAAGATAAATATATTTAATCTTTTAAATAGTGCATTTCCTATTCATCATACTTATAAATTCCAAGTATACTTTTAGGAACAGCAGTTTAGAAGTGATTTAAAATTCAGGAGTATAATCAGTAAAGGACACACTACTATACCATATCATAATAGCTTTTATTGGTTTAAAAAAAGTGGCATTAATGTGCTTTTCTTTTAATATAAAATAATAGAATCAACTAACTTAGGGCAGTGGCAGGGAGGTCATAGATTACCTAAAACTAAAGGAAAAAAAAGAAAGAAAGACTCCAAATTTTGATTGCTCCAAAATGGCTTGACTAATGTCAGGCGTTGGCAGGGACCTGGGGACTGTTCACAGTGGCACATCCCCAGACCAGGTGAGACGGTTCAAGTAGACCTAATGAAATGTTCCTGTTAGAGCGAGTTGGGCAGTTGAAGCCCCTCTTCTGCCTCCTCAGGCAGTTAGTACTAATTCACCCCAGTAGTGATGTCTTCC